ACCAATCTAAAAGTAACAATTTATCAGTGTAAATTATTACTGACTCCTTGAGCATCGAGTCAGTACTGAAGGATAATGATAGAGATAAGTTAACAAACAATGATTTGTAAGCACAATATTTATTGTAGAAAACATGGTATAAAAAGACATTTTATGTTTTCTACAATAAATATAATTGTCCTTACAAATCATTGTTTGTTAATTTACTATCGTGTTAGTATAATATGCTTCCCTACACAACGGATATCGTGGTTGCAGAGGCTCATGTTTCAGTTTAAGTAGTACGTCTTCAGAAAAGGTGTCTTTATAATTGTGAAACACAATGGAAAATGCTTTATAAGTAGCAATAAAAACTAATATTTGGATACCGTGTATATAGTAGTAAGATACTCATGCTGTTTAAAGACGAATCACATATTGCCTAGATTTCATAAACAAAAAATGTGAGAAATTGAAGAGAGTTGTAGTTTGGATTGGTTGTTATCAGTGGTAGAGGTACTCAGCTGGGTGAACTTGTTTAAAAAATACTTGTAAATAAATAACGACAATTTGAGTGTCAATGAGTAAATTCTTTCTGACGGAACAATGGAAGCACGCGCATCCGAAAAAAGCAGCTTAAAAATAAGTTCCGGTACTCAGTACCGGTGAGTTTCACTCCTGATTGTTATCATATACAATTTGTACGTGGATTGCTGACCAAAGTAAAATGACTATGCAGTAATTTGGACTCTTTTTTTTTTCTTTTTTAAAAGAAGCTCATTCACATCCAAAGAGTAGATGTAAGATTAGTCATTTTGAATGCCACATTTTACATCAGTCGTTCTGCTTTCCAGTTCATTAAAAAAATTTAAAAGTGCATTTAAGGAATAGTAGAAACAAGCTTGAGTTCGTGAGTTTGGATACGAATTGCAAGAGCTTAAGCTGTTTTACAAACCAGTAACTATACGTGTGGGATTGAGGACTGGAGACTGGAGAGTCTTAATTGACTATGTGCTGCAGTACAACTACTGAGCTTCACTCGTAAAATAACATTCTTTCGGCTATAACTGTTTATCTAAAAGCTCAATTACACTATTTTACGTAGGCTTCCAGTTTTACCCTTTGGGTTATTCTTCTTTGAAAAATGAGCTTAAATATGCATTCCTTACACTTCTAAAAGCAGATTATTAAGAATCTATTTCTTGTGGGACTTACTGTGGATAGAAAAATATAGTTCATTTATAAGTTCTTTACAAGTACATGTATAACTGTTGAGATTGTCTTATTTTTTCTGCGAATTTTAGGTGATATACCGCAAGTTAGTTTAATTTCTGCTTTAGTTTTCCTAGTTAATATCACCGATGAAGAGTTAGTTAATAGCAATAACTCGTTCTTTAGAAACACTATTTTGTACAAAATGAGTTGATTTTCATCGCAGAATTCACACTTTTGTAATAATTTTAGTTAAGCTTGAAATATACCTTAATTTTATACTAATAATAGTGATGAATAAACTTAAAACATTTCATACTCAACCCATTTCTTTTCTGTTAACATAACCTTCGAACAACAAGGGGTTATTTGGTTTTTCGAGGTTTCTTTGCATGTCTACCCTTCACCTTTAAAGAAACCATTGATTCTCCTCTTCAACTCATGCACTCCCGCTAGCCCAGCGATAAATCGGAGGCCTTTAACGCTAAAATTGGGTTTCGATACCTATGGTGCGGTTGGTAGAGCACGGATAGACCATTGTGTAGCTTTGCGCTTAACAGCAAACAAATTAAACTCTTATACAGTGCTGGCCTCTACTTCTGCCGAGTGTAACTCATTCCATAAAACCAACTCTTGGATATTCATCGTGACCATTGTATTTACTGAAACCAACTATTTCATTTCGAGACAAAGATAAAATTCTTTTTGTAGTAATAAAACAGACTAAATTGTTTCAGACGTTCAGTCATGAAGTTGTTCCTATGAATTTGTTTAAAAAATGAATTTAAAGGTATTCTTTCTTTGTTTTCAGTTTCCCTCGATGCTCGCCCCATTGTGATTCCTATTGTCTCTTGTGTTATCAGTTTTCCGTTGCTGGCTTTTGCTATAATTTGTGCTCTTAAGCATAGAGCGCAGCGTCACCGAAGACGTGAGCATATTAGAAGACTAAAAGCAGGGTAAGTATCGTAGTTATTATGAATATATTTTGATTTTTCTTCATCAAACCTACTTTTTAAACGTTTAACTTTTTTGAAAGTGGTAATTTTACTGATGCTCTTTCATTCAATTCTTGCTAGGATTGTGTAAAAAAAAAAACATTACATGTTGCATGTTAGTGGTATTTTGGGCAATTTACGAGTTTAAGTGCTTTTGTGATATGATGATGATGCAAATTCTCTCATGGAAAAATTCAAATGGGCATTTATGGGCCTACAGAAACCATGTTCTCAAAGTTGAACGTATTGGGTTATTTCATAATCAACAAAAGTATTAAATCATTAGTGAAAAAAATTTGGAAAATAGGTTTATGTTGAATGGCTCAAAGTATTTAACTGACCTTCACATGTATTATATCACATTTTGAATCAACAAAATAAGAATTAAATCATTAAAATATATGTACGCAACAGATTACAACTTTTTAAATGAGACTCGTGTTTTTTTAGGCTTAACAAAAGTTATGGAAGTCACGTTTATCTAAAAAAAAGTGCAAGAAACTTCATGATGATAAGCAACACCTAAAATATAAAAGCCAGAAGACACGTATTGAAATTCTAGAACACTTTAAGATATTTTCTTTTGTTCCTAGTTGTATTTATGATGTTTTGTTTTTACGCTATATATCTCGAACTATACGAAGATCGCACTTAGTGGTTTTAGAGCAACTTCCTTGACTGAAGAAATGCTAAAAGCTTGTCATCCTTATTGATTCTCTGTACATTTTCTGATCTTAAGGAGATTGAAAGTTATGTTTTATGAACGAGTTGGATTTAGTGAAAGAGTTATGTTTCTTGGAAACGCTTTCTTTGAATTTGATAAGCTCAACATATTAGAATTCAGTCTCCCTCTTGCTAAAATTAACGTCTATCTTATAGTCAAACTTCGGTAATTATAGCCTCTTTAGGTGTGTTTCGAAAGTTGTTAAATTCGCTTTCAGTTATGAATAGGTAGAGATGCTAAAGTTTTTATAGATATATTTGTTTCTAATTACGTCTATAATATTTTTTTTTGATTGCAGATATAGAAATTTAAACAGTACCTATGATTTCCGAAACAAATCCGGAATGGAAAAACGTGCTTGCGAAAACTAAGGAAATTAAGCCAAGTAGAATGATGACCCATTCTTTTTCTTTAAATATAGTTCGCGTTAGTAAATCTTTACGAAAGAACAGTGTTTTCATTTAGCACTATACATGTGAACTAATAATAAAAAAGTGTTCTTTCCATAACTTAATAGCATTTCTTAAGCTTTCTCAGCACAAGTCCCCTAGAAAATGTGTTTCCTGATTGAGGCCCCCACCCAGTGAATGCGTAGGTACTGAGAACGTTAACAATATTGTATCTTTTACGTATTTTCTACGCCCCCCCCTCCCAACACTTTCCTGCCACCATAGAGGGTCAGTGATTTCTAGTTTGGGAACCCCTGCTTTTAGATACGAATAAATTTTAATATTTTCTCTATAGTCTGCAATATGTTTTGATTGTCATATTTTCGCAGATTTATTCTTCATTTTGTTGAAAACTGTCTTAAATAATACAGGAAAACTTCAGACCATCAATGTTATTTGACGTACGAAAGACGTTTGTTTTCTAAATTTCATCGCCTGATGATAGTAACACTTTTTTAAAGATCATCCACTAAAGTTCTCGGGCGGGTCAGCACTAAATTAATGGACTTACAATGCTAAACTCAGAGGCTCTATTCTCAGCGGTGGACAGAGCGCAGCTAGTCCATTATGTATTCCACCTCAGCAGTAAGCATGAGGGCTTATAATGCTAAATTTCGGGTTTTGATACTCTCGTTGGGCACAACACAGATATCCCATAGTGTAGCTTTATGCTTCACAACAAACAAAAATCACCCACTCAAAGCATAAAATAAGAGTAATAAAGAAAGATAAACAATTTGTCGATTAAATGATGATCCTTGAAATTATCTGCTATAGAATATAACACCATCCCTACTCTGAGCTAAAGCAGGGCTCCTAACTATAAAACATCAACAATATTTACGTCACACAAGCAAACACATTTGTTACTTGTACCTGATGATGACGTAGGTTTGCCTAAACGTCGTACATCTGTAATAAAGTTTCTTTCATTACCCATTAAGGCCCGGCATGGCCAGGTGGTTACGGCGCTCGACTCGCAATCTGAGGGTCGCGGGTTCGAATCCCCGTCACACCAAACATGCTCGCCCTTTCAGCCGTGGGGCGTTATAATGTAACGGTCAATCCCACTATTCGTTGGTAAAAGAGTAGCCCAAGAGTTGGCGGTGGGTGCCTTCCCTCTAGTCTTACACTGCTAAATTAGGGACGGCTAGCGCAGATAGCCCTCGTGTAGCTTTGCGCGAAATTTAAAACAAACAAACAAACACTACCCATTAAGCCGTTTTCAAACTTTATTTTCTAAAAAGTGGGTTCTTAGTTATATCAAATTCACATTTGTTACGCTTTAAACCTTTCATGTAATGCTCCCATCTATAAAATATGATTTATATCTGTTATGATAATGTTGATGCATTTGGTATTACCTCAAAGACAATGTTTGTAATAAATATTATGAAATTACAAATTTTCGATGTCTATCTCATCTCTGTGATTGTGTTCTGCTATTACAAAATAAATAAGTAAATTAAAAATAAAATAAACGCACTGTTAATCTCTAGGCGATTAAAAACCTGGCACCAAGCAAGAATTAATCTGTTTTAACTTCAACTCAACCAGACATGTGAGTGGCTTAATATATGCACGATTTCTTTAGACGATTAAATTATTTGAGTAACCAGCAAATAAAATATACTTAATTATATAATAGGCTTAATTTTCTTTCAGCTATAAAATAATATTTACTACGAACATAACCAATTCTGAAAAAAACAAAAACATATCCTATTTATTCAGTACCTTTCAACGTTTGCCATAAACCTAGTCAAGTCTGAAAAACATATCCTATTTATTCAGTACCTTTCAACGTTTGCCATAAACCTAGTCAAGTCTGAAAAACATATCCTATTTATTCAGTACCTTTCAACGTTGCT